CATCAGCACCAACAGCGGGATTCGAACCCAGGTTGTGGTAATGCAGTGTATGATATCGACACATTAGCCAGCACATCGCACTGCCACGAATGCCTTCGGTTTACAGAGAAGATGTGAATTTCAAGAAAGTTTAGGCATTTTCCAATATTACTTTCTTTTCAATAAAGAAAGATTGTATTTTCTATTAAAATCGATTACATTAGATATTTATTTGTCTATAAACAGGTTTTTGAAACCCCCAGTATATCATTTATATGAGATATATTCACCCTCATCACCTTAAATGAAATAGGGTGAATACATTTCCTATAGATGTTTTACTGGTAGTATCGAAAAGTATACGGAAGCCAAAATAAAAACAAGATGATCTTGGTGTTCCTATCTATTTAAAAATGAATTTCTAATGCTGAGCAAAAACAAACAATAAATCTTGATTAGAGCAACTATAAAAATCCTTTTTTTAAGGTTGTACAATTTTAAGATATTTAAAATGTTTAACTTTTGGTGGGAGTATGCTCTCATTTCCAACAAGGGCTTAAGCTAAGCAAATTTTTGAAATAGCATAATTGTATCGATAGAGCAGACATTTAGGCTTGTAGAGGTGAGAAAAAGACGTCATCATCTTTTTAGTGCCAGTGAGTCTGCCCTGTACAACGGGGGAAAAGTAACAGTTGGCCCTTAGATCATTTTGACCTACATCGAAAGGTGATTTAACCTACTCAACTGACCTATCAACTCAGCCTAGTTAACAGAATTAAAACTCCTTGTAATATTCTAATCTTCTCATAATTGTAAATATTTGTCATTTTTCGCATAGAATGTACAGGACTTGCAGCCTCGAGATACAAGGCAAGTATAACTCTTACAGTAATGCAGGCCGGGTTGACCACTATAGAGAAAATATTTCTAAAAGATGAAAACGTGCTTGCCAATATTATTATTATATGCTAATTAATATTGTGAAATATAAGAGGTTTGGCGATGAAATTAGTTACGACTAGAATATTCTAAGATTCACGAAGCAATTAAGTTTTTAGGCAAAAATGAGTCTTCGCCTTCGGGAATTGTGGAAATCCATATAGATTTTATAACTTTTACACTGATTTGGACAATCGGAAGTCCGTTTATGCAACGATAAATTGACTTTAATTTGTTGAATTTTTTATTTCCGAGTATTCTGTGGAGAAATAGAAAGAGGAATAGAAAACTGCTCTTTGAATAGGAAGAAATTGGGACAACCTCTTTAACTCAAGACTGCCAGTACTCGATGGAAAACAGGTTTTTTTTCTCTCTCGAGGCTGTGATGAAATCATCTTCAAGATAGCAAGTTTTACTGTACAGAAATTATCACTAGAGATTTCTAAAGAGAATGGGGATGCGCCAAAGTTGGCACTTTCAAGTATAAGATGCAAAAAATTGGTAAAAAAAGTCAGTTTGCCCCTTCACTTTCCCGGGTGGCACAACAAGGCGCCTTAAGCACAAAATGGCCTCTCCCAGTTGAGACTCCCTATGCTAGTTCAAAGGCAAGCAAAAGCACTTGGGCATCCAAACCAATTTTGGTATCGAAAACTCATCAAAATTTATGTATTCCGCTTTACGTGTTTGAAGTTACAGTTTAAGTACAAAAAGTAAATCAATCAATTCTTGTAAAAGGAAAATATCTACTTGCATAAAGTTGTCTATTGTTGTCACTTTATAAATCTGGAAGAGTATGATGTGTAGTCTTCCCTTTATTTTCATAAAAATAAAATGAATCAAAATCTATTATCTGTTATGTGAAATGGACTAAACAAAACTGGTTGATCTCTCTTATTGTTTTTCTGGCCAGAAGACATTTTTTCGTAGAATTCTAATGCATTGGCCAGCTACCAAAGGCATGGCCTATTTCTATTTGGTTAAAACGTGAAAGGTGTGAGCGATGAAGATGATGCGAATTAACATGTTATATCGACACTAATGTTAGGTTATGAGTTAGGTGTTGATAGACAGAGAAGGCTGGAAATGATACGAGGCAAAATGCTGAATCAGCATTAATGCGCCAGCATTGCCTCTGGTTTGATCTTTTTTGAGCAAGGTTCTATTGTACTATCACTTTTTGATCTCACAGTAAGTCGGGCAACACGAGTGTTCTGCTGCAAGAGATAGGGACCTGCGAAGGGAATCAAGATAGCCCCAAGAGGAGCCGAAATAAGGATGCTGATCACGGCCAGCGCCAGCAGCTGAATTCAGATAGAAATAAAAATATATAACGAATTTAGTCAAGTGGGCGAAATAAGTTTAGAAAGTACTACAACCAAAGTAAGCAAAAAAGTTCATTCAAGACTAAATAAGTGAAATTACACCCTAAATCTCTTAAAAAGTAATTTGTTAATC